GTGTCGGTTGGCCATCTGGATGTTGTCTTTGGAGAAGTCTATTCATGTCTTTTGCCCATTTCTTCACTGGATTCTTTGTTTTTTGGGTGTTGAGTTTGATAAGTTCTTTATAGATTTTGGATATTAGCCCTTTATCTGATATGTCGTTTGCAAATATCTTCTCCCATTCCGTTGGTTGCCTTTTAGTTTTGCTGATTGTTTCCTTTGCTTTGCAGAAAATTTTTATTTTGATGAGGTCCCAATAGTTCATTTTTGCTTTTGTTTCCCTTGCTTCTGGAGACGTGTTGAGTAAGAAGTTGCTGTGGCCGAGGTCAAAGAGGTTTTTGCCTGCTTTTTCCTTTAGGATTTTGATGGCTTCCTGTCTTATGTTTAGGTCTTCCATCCATTTTGAGTTTATTTTGTGTATGGTGTAAGAAAGTGGTCCAGGCTCATTTTTGTTCATGTCACTGTCCAGTTTCCCCATCACCACTTGCTGAAGAGACTGTCTTTATTCCATTGGATATTCTTTCCTGTTTTGTCAAAGATTAGTTGGCCATACATTTGTGAGTCCATTTCTGGGTTCTCTGTTGTGTTCCATTGATCTGAGTGTCTGTTTTTGTGCCATGGGAAAATTAAAAAAATTTTTTTGTTTATTTATTTTTGAGAGAGAGAGAGAGGGACAGAGCACAAACGGGGGAGGAGTAGAGAGAGGGAGACACAGAATCTGAAACAGGCTCCAGGCTCTGAGCTGTCAGCACAGAGTCTGACGCAGGGCTCGAACTCACAAACCGCGAGATCATGACCTGAGCCAGATGCTCAACTGACTGAGCCACCCATGTGCCCCAGTGCCATGGGAAAATTTTAAATATTACTTCTTAGATACTGAGTTCCTTCCCTCTATTTTTTTTTTCTCTATTCTCTGTTTTTGGAACTCCTTTTATTAAGATACTGACATCTAGCCTGATTATTAATTTTTTTACTTCTCATTTTCTGGTTTTCATCTTTTTTTTGTACTTTCATATTTTCTCAATATTCTTTTCTAGTTCTTCCATTGATTTTAAAGCTTTTTCTATCATTTTTAATATCTCAAAGATCTTTAAATTTTTTATTCTCCAAATATTTCCTTTTAAAGGTAGCATTATGCTCATGTGTCTGTAGGGCAGTGGCTCCACCCTGGAGTCCAGGTGACCTTGCACGTATCCTGGTAGGCCATGCAGGCAGAGTTTGTACCTCTGACCAGCCTACAACACAGGTGCAACAACCTGTGATCCTCTTATGAACATGGTGGTCTTGTGAAGAGTAGTCATAAGAACATTTTATTTGCCTTTCTTTCATGAGGAAGCCTCCGTGTCTTGCAGAAAGATGTCTTGAAGCAGTTTTCCCATCTGCCTCCTTGGTTTCTTTGAAACTTGAAACTTTCTGTCATGCTC